ACAGCTATTGAGTTTCTGTGTTTTGGTATTTCAAACATTTTTACTTATATATAAGTAAAAATTACTCCCATAGTACATAGATTATTTATACTGAATCAAGAAGTCTTCCATGGCATTAGAAGGTGTTAAGGCAGATTCTGTAACCTTGTAACATGGAAGACTCATGACACATGGGTAAATGTCTCCAGTGTTTGATGAAAAAGAGCAGCTGCAGAGAAAATGTATCAACTTCCCATAATTTAGGATCTGGTGGTACAGTTAGTTAAGGGTTTATTCATACATCTTTCTTACATTCTTTTATTTTTTATTTTTTTTGGTTTTTTGAGACAAGGTTTCTCTGTGTAGTTTTGGTGCCTGTCCTGGATCTCACTCTGTAGACCAGGCTGGCCTTGAACTCACAGAGATCCACCTGCCTCTGCCTCCGGAGTGCTGGGATTAAAGGCGGGCGCCACCACCGCCTGGCCTCTTTCTTACATTCTTGAATACATTATTGATATGAATCACAGTACCTCTCTTAAACAATGAGGGTGATAGACAAAAGGAACTGTACCCCTGTGACAGTGACCCACAGAAGCAGCGTTAAGGGAGGAAGGTAATTTTGGCTCATGGTTGGAAGGGATACAGTCCATCACGGTGTCAGTTTAGTTTGTCTAGTTTAGGTTAATTGGGTGAGAAGACCCACCCTAGATGTGGGCCCCACCATTCCACAGACTGGGGCCCCAATCTGAAGAGAAGGGGGGAAGTGTGTGAGCCCCAGCATGCCTTGCCCTCTGCTTCCCGACTGCAGACACAATGTGATCAGCCACCTGGAGCCCCCGCTGCCATGACTTTCCCACTGTCACGGACTGGGAGCTAGAATTAACCCCTTCCTGTTGCTTCTGTCAGGTACCATCCTGAGGTTCCTTGAAGTAATTTTGGGTTGACTACAATGTAAGGTTATTGATGTCCAGTTTTGAGTTGTGCCAGAGCATTAAAAAACAAAACAAAACAAAAACCACACTCTATTTTGTGAGAAGTGTCCAAAACCAAAATGATTTCTCTTTATGTACATTGTTCAGCATTGGGTGTGACTTTTCTGGTGCTTTGCAGGGAGTGTAAGTTTGCCTTTTATTGTTTCTTCAATGTAGTGTTTCCTGTGGACCAGGTGGGGAGTGGGAAGTGATAGGTTAAACCAGAGCTGGGAAGAGTGGAGTGGGTGTGTCAGGGGTGAGTTTTGCCTGTGTTTCTGCGTCCACGTAGACTGAGTGACCAGGCAGCAGGTGATAGAAAGGACCCATCAGGAGCCCACGGGGAAGTGGGAGGTGACGCGGCTCTTTTGCCCTTGGCAGTAGGTTCGTTCAGTCCTCAAGCTGGTTCAAAGTATTATGCGTGGAATATGAGTGGAACCAAACTTAGAGGTTTCCTCTCCCTAAGAACTGAATTTCACAGTGCACAGAGAGGGTTGCCCTTCCTCCATTGACAGTATTTGTGTCTGGTGATACCTCGACTAAAGCAAGACCACTGGTCCTCAGCCCAGTGGGCAGACACGGCAGAGGATATGGGGCAGCTAGGGGCCATGTCAGCGTGACTGGTCAGAGCCCCAAGTCTGCCCGTGGAAGTCGCAGGGTTTTTATCCCTCCCAAGCCCAGTAGCTGCACTCAGCCTGCAGTGACGGACCCCTGCACCACTGTGCAGGGGTGCTGAGAACAAGTCAGAACCCTCAGTGAATGCTCTATATTTAGCCTGTCATAAAAATCTTCATTTTCTGGCTTCCAGCAGGTTAGAAGAGGTGAGGGGGGAGCTGCTCAGAACCCCACTGGCCCCTGGGAGTGGGGCTCTGCTGGGGAAAGACCCAGGGAGTCATGGGATGGGAAGCTCATGACCCTAAGTGTAGCAGGGACTGGACAGTGAGGCGCACTCTCCAGAAGCCCAGGAACTTAGGGGGCAATGCCACCACAAACTCAAGCATTGGGACGTGAAAGTCCGGCAAGTGTGTGATGTGGTGACCCAGCCCATAAAATGAAGGCTGAAGCACCGGAAGACTGGGTTGGTTATATGTTGCCAGCCATCCAGCCAGTACAATGTCATCTGACATACACTGCTAAATTGTGTATTTTATGGTTTGATAAAAATGTCTAGTATGCTTTAAAGAAATTGGCAAAATATTTTCCAGCCTCCATAAGATAAAGTGTTGCTTATCTCTAGATACTAACAGTAGCGTGAACATTCAGTCCAAAGTTTGTTTGGTCAAAATGTTGAACACATTTGACAGATTCTGTAAAACACAGATCTTCAGCTAACGTAAACATAACTGGAACGCAGTCTGATGCTGCTGAAGAAAGCCACACGCGCAAAGGAGCCCAGAAACTAAGCAGAAGCTTGCAACTTCCGAGAGTCTGTCTTTAGCTCCTAGGGTGGCCATGAGCCCTGTCAGGTGACTGGTGGGTGTGGTGTCTGGGCTCTCTCCGTGACCATGACCGCTGTGCTTCTTTCCCTAGGCTATAGAAAGTGCCATCGGGGGCAATGCCTACCAGCACAGCAAAGTCAACCAGTGGACCACAAACGTCGTGGAGCAGACTTTGAGCCACCTCACCAAGCTGGGGAAACCATTTAAATACATTGGTAATGGATCTTTTTCTTGTGTATCTTGATAACATTCTTTAAATACTGATTAGAGGTGTGTCTAGTGCCCGGAGAAAACTAACCTAGCGATTCCTTGCTTGAGCTTCAAGAAAGTTCCTCCCAGGATCTCACCTCTTGTGTAGTGAACGAACCATGCACGTTGCCCATCAGGCTGATACCACCATTGCAGGGCTTACGTCAAACAAAAATTTACAGGATTTCTGATCAGACATGTTTAGAACATGTTAAGATAAAGGAGATACGCGTAGTTTGTCAGAGTGAGACAAGATAGTCTGCCCCTCCCCTCTAATTAGGAACATCAGCCATGTGATCTACCTACATTTAGAAGCAGGCAAAGTGAATTTATGTTGCCAGATTTTCTAACAGAAGTTTGTTTAATTGAAGTGACCTGTGTGATCATGCAGAAGAACGGAGCTGGGTTACACACCGCCAGTTCCTGCTTCTGGGACAGCACTACGGATGGTAGGACTTTCACCCTTGTAGGAAATGTTGTCAGCCCATTGCTCGACTCTCCCATAGCCCCGTGGTCCAGAGATCCGCAGTCTGAGGAGCAGAGTTCTATGACGTGCACACTTAGACGTCTCACACTCTCCAATGCCTTTCTGTAAAAGTTACCATTGCCTGGTGTAGTGGTGCACAACTTTAATCCTTGATCTAGAGAGGCAGAGGCAGGCAGATCTCTGAGAGTTGGAGGCCAGCCTGGTCTACATAGTGAGACCATATCTAAAAAAAAAAAAAAAAAATCCCATTCAGTAGCCACTTGCCCATTTATTTGTAAGTCAAGTCAGGCAATGAAGTCACTTTGTCTATGATGTGTCAGAGGCAGGCACTCCAGCTGAAGCTCCTGGGCCGCCTCCTCATCTCCTGTGCCTGTCTGTCTGCCCTACAGGGAGCTGCACGGTGCGCTGGGAGAACAAGACCATGTACTGTATCGTCAGTGCCTTCGGCCTGTCCATCTGACCTGCAGCCGCCCGTGTCTCCGCATTTCTGTTTCACCTTAACCACCAGCTAGGAATAGGGCGAACACCTTCCTCCTCACTAAAGTGTGTTCTGTGGCACTCTCGAAACGTAGAGAAATAAACCAAATGACTCCACGGTCCTAGGGACCGCACAATGTCAGGCAGATGAGCAGCCACCGGTCACCTGAGGCTGGCAGTACCACTTGTCTTAACTATTCTCTTTTCAAAGGTGCTAAAAACCGAAGTCTGCTAGGAGGAAACCTTCTCTACTTTCTGAAACGATTCAGATACACTAATTTTCCATACTTTATACTTTTGTTAGGATAATAAATTATTCAAAATTAAAGTTTCTGTGTTCTCTGTAGTCTGGAGCGTGAATCTGTGTTCCTGCCTTCAGAATTTTTTTTTTTTAAGGTTGCTTTCAGCCTTGGGCATGCTGACATAAGAGTGTCCGTGAACACCCTGGCCGAGGGTCTCAGGACAGTGCAAGGCCGGGAGCTTCGTGGGTCATGGGCCTGTTTCTTACCGTAATGGTGAAACCTGGTGACCCTGGCAGAGCTGGAGAGGTCATGAACCTCAGAGGCAGGTCAGACACGTGGGACACAGCCCCCTCGAAGACCTCCAACTGTGGCAGATGTTTCTACCCCGTCAGGGTAGTGTTCCATTTTTAAAATTACATTTATTTGTGTGTGACAGCGAGCGAGAACGTGAGTGCCACACTTGAGGTCGAAGGACAGCCGGTGGGAGCTGGTTCTTTCTCCATCACTGGGCCCCAGGGACGGGACTCAGGTGCTCGGTGACATGCCCCTTTACCTGCTGAGCCATCTCACTGGCCCCTCAGTTTCGTTTCAGGCCACCAAGGCCCAGGAGCCACTTGTCTGTGCTCCACTTTCCCAGCAGAGGCCACTGCCCCCTTTTATGCGGATGCCGCAGATCCAGGTTCACAAGCCCTTTACCTCTGTCTCCCCAGTGCCCCTGGATGAAGAGTCCTCTTTCTAAAGCACTCATGTAAAAAGCAAGTAAAACATAAAAGATTAAACGGTAGAAATACATTAACATTGAGACACAAGGGGTACTGTCAGAACAAAACTGTTACAGTTTGGATGTAAACGTCCCTTATCGGTGCCTCCGTCACACACTCGGTCCTCAGAGGCGCTGGAAACATTAGAGGTGGAGCCCACTGAAGTGGATCACAGTAAGCACGTCCCTTGCGGGTAAGGGCCTCTTGCTCTGGCCCCATTCTGACACTGCTTCCTGGCCACCAGGAGGCCAGCCGCTTGGCCACACACTCTCAGTACCGTGTCCTTACTCCTCATAGGCCCATGGTGGAGTGCGCTGACCATGGACCCATGAAGTCACTCTCTTGTGAACTGTTCATCAGTCTCTGTCACAGCAATGAAAGGTCTAATACAGAAGCCATTCCCGAAACAAGAGTTTTATTGAGTTCTTCATAAATAAGCATTTATTTACCCCTTGACTGACTGCCCAGGTGATACATGCCCCACGGATGGCCTAACTATCATTAACCCACAGTTCCAGTGTTCCTTCTAGACTGAGAGCCTAGTGTTTTTACTTAACATTTACAGACATTTGTAAAAAAGGCAGTTTTCAGGAGCAGAAAATCCTGTGCCACAGAATGGAATCACACCTGTTCCGTGTCACAGAATGGAATCACACCTGTTCCGTGCCACAGAATGGAATCACACCTGTTCCGTGTCACAGGATGGAATCACACCTGTTCTGTGCCACAGGATGTGTCGTTAAATGTATTATACCTAGAAGCACCCAAAACACCAAGATAAACTGTTGAGCAAGGTGTCAGACTAAATCAGTTTCCCTTTGGCCTGAAAAAAGTTGTACTCCCCCCCCCCCCCCCAAAGAAATCTAATCACTAAGGCAACGGATATCTAAACCCTCAAATATACAAACACACATCAGGTGTCAGGTCTGTTCCTCATGGAGCGCTCACAGAGAAGGCCCTTTTACTTCTCCCTTTCGTGGGTGCTTGTGTGTTTCCTGTGAAGATTAGTAACCATCTTCGAACCTGTTTAGTGTACCTGCGACTTCAGTGGCTCAGCACTGGAGCCTGGTGAGGTCTGCTGTCTGAATTCACTGCAGTCTGTAACCACAGAGACCGTCTTGCGAGCCTCACGCATATTTACATACCCACTTCTCTAGCCATTCAATGGGCTTGAAGGCACCATGTCACCGCTACAATGATTTGACAATAAATCAAGCCAACTCCCTATCCACAGGGATAACAGAGCTCTCTCGGGAAGCCAGGAGACATCTCCTCATCTTCCAGGTTCCCCTAGAGTGGACCAATATCAAAAATACCCAGAGACAGTATTACTCAAACCCTTACCCTGAAAGAACTTGTCAGCCCTTTGAATTTGTAACTTAAGTTTATAAAACTTTAATCTCCTCAGAGCAAAACAATCTTCTCATTACTATAAAAGTTTCCGGCGGAGTTGAGCATTTTAACCTGACACCTACAGCTTCAGCCTACTCGCCGAAGTCTCCAGATCTGTAAGCAAATAATACATCGCATATCATACATGACTACATGACACTGGAGAAGGGTGAGAACACAACTTAATGACCTCTTCCCCTTAAGTGCCTCTTTGTGATTCTTATTTCCAACAACAACAACAAAATATTCCCTTATGTTAATTTCACAGACACTAGGATCAGTTTATAATTATGCTGTGGGACAGTTTTTAAAAGTCCTAAAGTCTGTACATAAATGCTTAAAATACCTTACACTGACTGATAAATAGCATTCTAAATCAAGGGGAACTTTTGGGAATGATTAAAACAAGTAAACTATCACATGTTAGAACATCATGGAATCAGCAGGAGTCAGTGTCCAGATGATGACCGATGGATGCAGTGCTCTATTAGGAGTTGTGAGCGTTGGTAACAACGGACCTTCCAGTATCTCAGAACACGAGTGATCACCGCGCTGTGAGTGTAAAAATCTGTAAACCTGTTACCCTTGCAACTAGAGGTTCATTCAAATATTCCTATTTGCAAGGTTTTTTGTTGTTTTTTTAAAACAATGCACATGGAATCCATATTGAAGTACACCGAAGTTTAAAAGGACAGGCCGGCAGAATGAAGAATCTCCAGGCATCCCTGGGGTCCCGGCCCATCTGGCTAGGACCCCACAGCTCAGAGCAGAAATCTGAGTCGGTGCATAGATGACGAGAACATGGTGTTGCCTGAAGAGGGGTCCACCTGTTCCTGGGCCTCTGGATTTGCCAAGATGGAGGCAACGGGATGGCTACCGTTACCAGGTGTTCACGGAGTGTGATGGAAGGCAGCGGCGCTTAGGACTTCCAGCGCTGAATCTCACTAGTGCAGGTGACATCCGTTCTCCACAGAGCAACACTCCAAGGACACAACGACCTTCAAGGAAGTTCCTTTATCTGAAGGTGTCTCCATAGCCATTCAAAATGTTTACCTTTCTCTCCATTTCAGTTCCAAATGTTAAACTGAAGACCTTTTTGGCAATAAAGAATTTCTAATATAGTAGTATTTCATGTAGCTTTCATTAAACAAACAAAAAAAAGAAGAAAAAACAAACAGGAACTCTTTGGGGTTTCACACTCAGTAGAGTTGCAGAAACTCTTGGAATGGGAAGGGCCACCCTGTTTTCCATCTTTACCACAAGAAGACCCAGTCTTAACCATGTACACAGATACTTGCACACAGACCCTTCAAAAGCACCATGGTACAAGACCTTGCCCACAGGGCTACTGGCTTGTAGACACCTTAGCTTCTCTCAGTCTCTCAGTCTCTCTCTTCTCTCTCTCTCTCTCTCTCTCTCTCTCTCTCTCTCTCTCTCTCTCTCTCTCTCTCTCTCACACACACACACACACACACACACACACACACACACACCCGACTCAACTGTGTTATCACTTCTGCTCTGGGGCAGTGACCGACCTCGTCACCCACCATTCCTGAAAGTTACATCGTATGCGGCTCACCAAACTCAACCATCATTCCAGATGCTCGGGAGTCAGCGCACTGACCACTCCATGTGTCTGTGGAGATGGAGGCAGACTGCCCACCCAAGGCAGGCCAGGCTTCCCTTTGAGGGTAAAGCACTAAGGAACTGTGCCATGGAGAAGAGACTGCCATGTTGGGACCTTGATCATCAGGCCTCCCACAGACTCAGAGTTAGCAAATTGCTTTTTTTTTTTTTTTTTCGTTTTTTTTTGTTTTTTTTGGTTTTTCGAGACAGGGTTTCTCTGTGCAGCTTTGCGCCTTTCCTGGGATTCACTTGGTAGCCCAGGCTGGCCTCGAACTCACGGAGATCCGCCTGGCTCTGCCTCCCGAGTGCTGGGATTAAAGGCGTGCGCCACCACCGCCCGGCGCAAATTGCTTTTTAAGAGGAAAAAAAAAGTACATCATTCCTTTTATTAAAACAGGTCATCTCTCCTCCTCATCGCACACAGGCTCCGTTTCATCCGGCATCTCTGTGAAAGGGTTTGCCTTTGGATTCTCTACCAGCAGCCTCTTCGTAACTAGTGGAGCTACCCCGACAGCAAATCCAACCAACATTTCATTTCATTTGGTTTTTCTTTAAAAAATATGTAAACAAATAAGGAACAGGAAACCTCTGCTTACAGGAGGAGTCCAAACACACACATGTAGAAGAAAGGACCAGGACACATCACTAAGGCAGGCCTCCGGCCCCTCTGCCGTCCCCTCTGCCGCCCAGGGCTCAGTCACTGTCCGACTCCTCCTTGTACTTGGCCCGGATGGCCTGACCGTTCTGGAGGGGCATTTCTTCGTAGTCACTCCTGTTATAAAAGAGACCTTTGACACGGTGCCACCCCAGCAGCTCTTCTCTGTGCGTGCACATGTGTGGGGAGGCCAGAGGGCAACCCCAAGCATGTCCCTTTATCATTCTCCACCTCACTTATTTATTTGTTTATTTATCAGACAGGCTCTCTTACGGAACTGGGAGCTCACTGATTCAGCTAGAGTGGCTGCTGGTCACTGAGCTCCAGGGATCCTTCTGTCCCCAACCCCCAATGCTGGGATTACAGGTGTGTACCACTGAACTCTGGGTCTGGCTTTTGTTTGTGCTGTGTTTTATGAGACAGGGTCTTACTATGTAGCCCTGGCTGGCCTTGAACTCAAAGATCTGCCTGCCTGTCATCTGAGCTCAGAACCTGGCATTTTACTTGGGTCCTAACGCTTGCACAACAGGTACTTTATTAAGTCACCGCTCGGGTCCCCATCTGGAAGCCCCCGACTGTCTCCTTGCTGTCACACTGACCGCTGCTCTGAAGAGCTCATCTCCACAGCCTCCCTCTAGTCACCTGACCCCTGTCCACTCCCCCAGCTGGACTCTCGGCACCCATTAATTCACACAGAGCTGTTCTGGGGTTACCACAGACTGCAGGCACGATGGACTGCCGCTCAGTCCGTGTGAAACACACAAACCAAAGCCATAAAACTCCTGACACTTCCAGGCAACGGTCTGATGCCATGGAGACAGTCTTCAAATACCATCCATCATTCAGTAGCAGACAGCCAGGCTGTGCACGGGGTGACGGTGACTTACCCGTAAATCACATCATCATCGGAATCGTTCAGCATGGAAAAGGCAGGGTTGTCTTTTAGCTGGGACTCTGAAAAATCAACAAACGCCTTTTTAATGAGAGCATTTTGTGTTATTAGCCCAGGTAGGAGTCCGAAGGAGCTAGATCCCAAGCCCCAAACTCAGCAGTGGCATGCTGTGACACCATGACATAGACACAGCACGGCCCTGTCCTGTGTTCAACTGTGACACTGTGGCAGACACAGCACTGCCCTGTCCTGTGTTCAACTTCAGGCTACCATTCTCCTGCCGCCTCTCTGTCACAGGGCCCTGCACCTGGGGAAAACCTGAGCCAATGGAAACTTCTGTTTCAGCTCTCGGGACAGTAACCCAGACCTGGCGGCTCACCGTACAGAGCATTCTTCGATGGCGAATACACAAAGGCCAGCGTGTAGAGGTAAAAGTTCAGCAGGCCATAGAAAGACAGGAATTCTGCTGGTGGTGCTGGTCAAGGGAAGCATAGGTTCGGACACGCGAGCCTCCGCCTCCTCCCGTTCCCCAGAAGCCCTTTCCAGGGTGAACCACTGACCAGCCTAGGGGAGGTCCACAGCCCGGATGCCTCAGCTCAAGCTCATGGCTAGATGTCACAAGGACCCTTCAGGATTCAAACTCCCAAAGAACAGGAAGGAGACTGAGGTCTACTGACGCAAGGAAACGCAGACCCCAAAGCTCAGAGTGGTCCTCCACCTTCACAACTACAGACCCCCAAGCACCTCGGAACGAACTCAGTGTGGAGCTTAGACATGAGTAATGAAGAAAGTCCTCATTAATCCTAAGACAGGCATGCTTTCCATTCACCTGACCACGGACAGGGAAGCCGGGAGAAACAAGATGTGGACTGGATATGGGCACGGTAGGAACGGAAGCTCCAGTGCCGAGTGAGCAGTCCCTGTACCCAAACTGTCACCGTGGTGAGGCTGGCATCTGGCTGCACCTCGGTGATGCTCAGAAGGTGCTGTCGGCACACAGACTCCAATCGCCCCTGGCTGTTCCTCTGTGCTCTCTCTCTCTCTGCTAGAGGGAGCTATCAGCTCAGGACTGACTGCCCCACTGAGGAGACAGCAGCCAGGCACTGAGCCCGGTACAGTGTGGTCATCAGCTTGGATCAGGGCTGTGCACACAGTGACGAATCTGGGGCCCTGACTCAGCCCTGCTGTGTGTGAGCTTCCTGCCTCAGAAGGAGGACTGATGAATCTCACCCTTCCCAGGGCCAACAGGAAGCCAAGAGAGGGGGCAAGGCATGCCTGCGGCCTGCTGAGCACAGGTCCCCTTGTAAACGTCCAAAGCTAAGGTGTTAACCATGAACACAGGGCCGCCCGCAGGCCCGGTTCCCCAGGACAAGGATATAGTTCTGGTAGTGAGCCGACAGTTCCGCTACAAAGTTGTCTTGCAACACTTGAGCTCCAAACCTCAGATAGAGGATGACGATGCTGTAAAAGAAGGGGGAACCACGGTGTAAAAATACAGAACCGCTCACCCCACTCAGACTCCACAGGAAACCTCCATACACACACCGATGTGACCCCCCACAGGCACTCTGGCTCCCGGGAAAAACACAACATCCACTCCATGCTGCTCAAGCAACCAAGAAAGCAGCGTGGGCACCCGCTGGATGGCTTTAACAATCTCTTGGGACTTAGTCAAAGAAACAGCTGCCTGGGGGAGGACTCTGTGGATGGCTGCCACCTGCCCCCACAGCCCAGCAGTGGCTTCTCCTTGATGTCTGCTGACTGCTCATGCCCGGTCCTGTCCTCGGCGCCAAAAGGATCTCGAGGCCCAGACACTCCTCGGGCATCCCTAGAAGGAGGTATTTCCCAGACGTGGGTGACTGCTTGTGATCAGCAGGTTCAGGGAAAAGGGATTGACGGCCTCACCAGCCAGGACATTCATGATGGAACTTTTATAACCTAGGCCAGTCTATAACTTTTTTTTTTTGGTTTTGGTTTTTCGAGATACGGTTCCTTTGTGTAGCCCTGGCTGTCCTGGATCTCGCTCTGTAGACGGAGCTGGCCTCGAACTCAGAGATCCACTTGCCTCAGCCTCCCACATGTTGGGATTAAAGGTGTACGCCACCACAGGAGCCCTCTGACTTTGTGGATGTGTGTGGCCACAAGTACCCCGAACTAACTCCACCCAGGAGGAAACATGTGGGATGGGATTACAGCGTTAACTCACTCATGAAATGAAGTCCTGGGGCTGGGGGGAGGCTCTGTGCCTGTCATGCCAGCATGAGGATCTGAGTTCAGATCCCGGGTGTGGGTAAAAGCTGGGAGTGGGGGAGGGCATCTGTAAGTGCCTGGGAAGTGGCTGGGAGGCGTGCAGAGGCAGAGACTGTTGGACAGCCAGCCTAACCAATTAGTGAGCTCGGGGTCCAGTGAAAGTCCCTGTCTCTAAAAAACTAAGATGGAGAACTGGGTGGACCAGATGGCCCAGCAGGGAAAGATGCCGAGGCCAAGCCTGACAACTAAGATGGAGAACTAGGTGGACCAGATGACCCAGCAGGGAAAGATGCCGAGGCCAAGCCTGACAACTTGAGTTTCGTCCATGGACCACTCATGGGAGGAAGGAGCGGGAACGAGCGGCAGGGAATCCATTCCTGTATCTTTTCCTCTGACCTCCACACACGTGCACTAGTGAATTAGTTAATATAAAAAATAATAAGGTGGAAAATGAAAGAGGAAGACACGCAGGTTGACTCTCTGGCTCCGGACACACATGTGCACAGACACACACATGCATGCCCACTCAAGCACAGCCAAGCACACATGCACGCACACGCAGATACCACACACACACACACACACACACACACACACAAAGTCTTACCTAATAACAAGCACTACAAAGGTCAATGCAGTCAAAAACTTCAACCTGAGATCTGAAAAAGAAGGGTTCGCTCCCGTTAACAAATTCCACCTTAGCGCAGTTTGAAAGACAGAAACAAAGCCGATACACAAAGCCACCCCGGGGCAGGCCCTCTCCCTTGTATGCTCTGTGCCTGTTCTACTGGGAAGGCCGCACAGTGTGGGGCCCAACACAGTGGTTTCTGACAAAGGGCCTACGTCTTGTGGCTTGCCCTGGTCAAGGACATGTTATTTATGGTCCTTCTAGGTCCCCGGCCGTTCTCACAGCCCTGTGGCACCAGGGGTGGCTTTCTAGGGCCAGCAGCTTCTGGGGGTGTGGCCCTGCTGCCCCCTGCTTACAGAGTGGCACTCACCCACGTAAGGCATGTGACGGAGCTCAGAGCACGCCCGCACGATCAAGAATAGGAGGTATAAAATGTACAGAGCGGCCACCACCATGAAGAAGACCTTCATGCCCTGGAATAAAAGAGACAGGTGAGGGTGAGACTAGGCACTGCCGTGTGCAGCCTTCAGCACCCCACAGGTGCTGAAGCCCAGTGTGATTAGAGGGGACCCAGGGCCTCAGGTCACCCCCACTGACACAGCCCCAGGAAGGGCCCCCCAAGCACAGGCATCTCATGCCAAGATCACTCAAATTCATGAACCAGTGCTTTGCCTTGAACCTGAGGCCAGAGGGTGCTGGCAAGTGGTGGCAGCCACTGAGGCCTTTGCCTGGGGTGGGGCCTGGTCCCTGTGCCACTGAGGACAAGGGTTATGCTGACAGGACATAGGGCTGGACCCAGCTGGTCCTCATGTAAGACCTGACTGTTCCAGGCCTTGGTGTTCCTGAGAAAGGAGGGGCTGAATGGAAGGTTCTAGGAGACCTAAGGTCTGGAGGCATGCCCTTCCATTGCTTGAGGATGGGAAAGCCCTTGCCTGAAGCAGGGGGTCACCAGCTCTGATGAGAGGGGCCACGTGCTCTTCTCACTGAGCCTTCTTGACTAGGAGGCTCCTCAGGTAGGAGCTGCAGCCTTTCCTGCCCTCCCTGAAGCAGAGGCCCTCTTTCAGGGTCACAGCCTCGAGGGTGGGGCTGCAGGTCAGGGACCAGGATTCTGCTGCTGCTGTGGAAGAACCGTCAGTCTGGGTTCATGTCCTCGTAGAGGGGGAGGGGCAGGACAGCTGTTCCCCGCACCCTAGCAGTCTTTGGTCCCTGCTGGGTCCTTCAGTAAAGGATGTTGGCTGCTCTCTGTTCTTGAGCCCCTGAAGCTCCATTCCAGACAGCCTGGCTGGGAAGGGCTCGCCAAGAATTCAGGACGGAGCCTTGTCTGTGACATTGGACCAAGAGCTCTGCATTCCTTGTATGATGGGGGAAGATTCCATTATCGACCCATTTCATAGATGAAGAAACAGAGGGAGTGGCTGAGCCTGTAACGGCCTGGGCTGCATACCCTTGCAGTGTGGCTCCTAACTCTGTAGCCCTTCTTCCTGCCTCAGTTTGCCAAAGAAAGGATGAACCAGGCCAGACAAATACAACAGCAATAGCAGACGGTCCATCACCGCCAAGTCCTCTAACTCTGGGAGTGTCACCCCCAACAGCCTCAGCTGACTCTTCCCTGTGAAATGGGCCAGAGCCTCACCTTCCTGGACCCACCCGCACCCAGAAAACCCCTTGAAGCTCTTGCCCTGCCTATAGCTGGCTCCAAGCCCCTCCTCACCCCAAATATGGACTCTCTTTCTGAGCTAAGCTCCGCCCAGGGTGCCCTGCCCCAGGCCCCTCATCCCAGAATCCTCTGGTCTCCCCAGACCCTAGACCAGTCTCTTCCTAGGTCCTCATGCCTGTGTGGTAAGTACTTTACCAGATGAGCCACCTCCCCAGCCTAAAGGTTTACTTTTGGTATGACTCAACCCCTTTCTCCAGATCTGCCACTCCGGAACTTTCTACACTTGTTTTTAAACAGCCACTGGAGCTTGTACTAACAGCGTGGGTAGAGTTACAAAACCAGCCACCTCGTGAAGATGAACAAATGGGAGGCTTCACCAACAGTGCTTACCTGAAAGTTCCCCGTGTCAACACGATATTGGTACATGGGATCGTGCAATTCATTAAATCTAAAAGGATGATGTTAAAAATACAGATTAATAAGAAAGCTTACGCTGCATTTCATACTTTTCCTGACTCAGGTTTTTCTTTCATCTTCTTTTTTGCTTGTAAAAGTACAGTACTTGCTACCAACATTGCAGGATTTTTAAATAGCAACCCTATATTATACAATGAAAAGGTACCCAACACTAAGTCGGATGCAGTGGTGCACGCCTGCTAATTGTCCGTGCTCATGAGTATGGTGAAGGTGCAGGACGTTTGACTTACAAATATCCCTTACATAAAGAGCTGTCTTTTATAAAAGAGTTACTTTTTAAATTATGTGTATGTATGTGTTTCTGGGAATGATATGTGCACATAAGTGCAGGTGCCTGGGGAGGTCAAAGGTGTAGGATCTCCTGGGGCACGGGGGCACACCTGATACGGGTGCTGGGAAGTAAACTTAGGTCTTCTTTTTTTTTTTTTTTGGTTTTTCGAGACAGGGTTTCTCTGTGTAGCTTTGCGCCTTTCCTGGATCTCGCGCTGTAGACCAGGCTGGCCTCAAACTCACAGAGATCCGCCTGGCTCTGCCTCCCGAGTGCTGGGATTAAAGGCGTGCACCACCACCGCCCGGCTCAGTCTTCTTAAAGTGCAGTACGCTAACTGCTGAGCCGTCTCCCCCGCTCCTGGAGCTTATTTCAATGGCATACTTGGGCACGTGGGACAGATGACAGCAGAGTAAGCAAAAAGAAAAAAAAAAAAAAGAGCAATATAAACTTGCATGAGCTGCAATTCCAGAATTCGCACTGGGAGCCGGGCTGGCAGGGAAATGAGTGGCTGGATGGTGTGAGGTCTTCTCAGTGCCACTGTGGCATGAGTGAAACATGAAATGCCCCCAAAGCACACTGGGTCGGGAACCGAGCAGCATCTCTGGGGAGTTGGGCAGTGATGCCCGGCTCCCGCAGCAAAGCCATTTCACAAAAGGGGCACAGCACTAACCAGGGTCACGTGAGTCTAACCAGGGTCAAGCTTGAAGCTGTGCAAAGGTCAGACAGCCTGAAGGTTCAAGAGGGGACTCCAGCGTCTCTGCTGGGCAGTCCTGGGTGTTGTTCCAGCAAACCAAGTCCTTTCTCGCTAAAGAGGCCTACGATGACACAGGCCTTCTCACTTTCCCCCTTACACTAGGAATCCTTTCGATGCAGGCCACACAGGCTAAGCGCAATTCCTTGGATCCAGCTGTCTGACTACATGTGAGCCGGGACAGATGCTACAGTCTGGATGAGGTCACAGGGCAGCAGGTCCAGCCTGCCCGCGGCTGTCAACACTTTCCAGGGGTGACCGTTTCAAAGCCAGCAAGCAGCATTACTCACGTCTGCCATATTCCCAGCGTAACAGAAGCCAGCCACAACAGTCCAACGATGAAGAATTTAGGCAAATAGAAAGTTAAGCATTTTCTTTCTCCCTAAAAAGAAAAAAAAAGTAGTAAGAAATACAGCAAACAGTGACTAACCCTAACAAGGCATATTAGGTCCCAAACACTTCTACACAGCATGCCTCTGCTGTGTATGGTAGGCCAGGGAGGGTCTCATGGCACCACTCATTCTGAAGGATGACCAGCATCACGCAAGAGGAGATGGTCTGTCTGTCTGCTTACCTGGACCCGTATCCCATGATACACACACAGCCAGAAGAGCAGCAGGGCGCACAGGAACAGAGACTGGAAGAAGTCGTCCAGCATTCCCGGGAACCAGCTATTCACCAGGAAGGAGAGCGGGAAGAAGGGGTCTGGAAGGCAGAAGACAGAGCATGGGCAAGAACATGGCAGCCTGGCAACCCGCACAGAGCCCCCAGCCCCTTCTGAGCTCAAGGCTCATCATCGTGTTTCCCCCGGCCGGAGCTGAAGGGCAGGGAGCACACCAAAGGCCATTTTGTTTTCCGAATGTCTGAAAGCCACTGAGCAGATTGAAGCAGTGATCCCAACAGAGAGGGAGCCATCTGCCCGTGTCAGCTCCTCCCGCAGCCCGGCCCGAGAATTCCCAGAGCCACAGCTCAGGAAGCAAATGCTTTCTGGAATGGGGACAGAGGAGGAGGCGGCCCAGCCAAGTCCCGAGACTGCTGGGGCTGCAGCTCGGCCAGGCTCCCACTATGCAGGCAGTTTGTGTCTGCTCAGGCTCCAAGCATCTGCTACGGCTGTGCGACACGGTGCCTGGGGAGCAGGAGTGTGCCTCAACATATTCCTCCAGGGATGCCCTGCGGACAATCCCGGGGTCTCTGGGACCGGGCCGCCTTTCAAGGTGGCTGACCGCTCTGAGCCTGAGGGGGAAGGTTCTGAGATGAAGAGGGCACCCACCATTGTAGAGCAGCAGCAGCGGCAGGAGAACGGACATCCACTTCTGCTCGATGCCCCAGTCTCTCATGGAGAACTTGCGCAGGGAATGTGCAAACAGGCACTGCGGAGCAAACGGCCAGTGACTGTCTGCTGGGCCCTGTCCCCCTACCCAGCAGGGTGAGTCTCACCCCGTCAGGGAGGCACCAGGCAGATCCCCTGGTTAAAATGACTCCTGAGGTCCCACCAGCTATCAGTGAGAGCCAAGACAAAAAGTATAACTGCTGCATGGGGCCCCAGGTGAGATGGGTCACACGCTGTTTCCACGCGGCCACGAAGTCTCTGCCCACAGAAAACGTGCCTACCCCTTGCATTTCTGCTTGGGCGGCTTCACTCAGGCATGTCCCCACATGGAGGCTCACAGGGCTTCCCAGAGCACATCTGGAGATGCCACCAGCTCACCTACCCAGCAGGACAGTGGACAGATGGCACCACGTACTAAGGACAGTATTAGGATCCCCAAGGAAAAGCCAAGAGGCAAAGCCATGCCACAGTAGCATGTTTTCAAACACCTCCATATGTGTAGAGCCCTTGGGAGAGACGTCTTTAAACAGCTTTCAAACACTGTACAATGTGTTACACACAGGTTATTTTTTTCCCTGTCATCTAATATAAACTAATCATTTTCTGGGCCACCTGAATTTCCTGGCCTGTGGATTACTTTTTGGTTTTTGTTTGTTTGTTTGTTTTTTTCCAGAACAGGTTATCTGCTGATGTTCAGGCCCCTTCCCCATTTAAGAACAAACTTAGGGCTGTGATTACCAATCTTTGGTCCCTAAGAAAATCCAGATACCAGGTAGCCCTCCCTCTCTCTATATACATATATACATGTATATATGTAAGTATGTATACACACACACACATACATATATATGGAGGATTTCTGAGAGACCAATTATGAGCCAGTGGTTCACTTCGTTCTCCATGGCCCCAGGCTTGCACAGCCACCATAAGCCTGATTCAAGGGCCTGGGCTGTGGGAGACCATTTTCAGGTTTCCTAGTGGCTTTACCCAGCAGGTCTGCATAGAGAGGATGAGTGGACCACAGGCCTGAGTGCAGATGTTTGTAAGGGTCTACATTTGACTATAACGAGCAAGGGGGGGTGCTGTGGGATGGTCTGTATGGCAAATGTGTTGCTCTGATTGGTCAATAAATAAAACACTGATTGGCCATTGGCTAGGCAGGAAGTGTAGGCAGGACAAGGAGGAGAATAAAGCTGGGAAGTGGAAGGCTGAGTTAGAGAGACACTGCCAGCCGCCATGATGAGAAACAGCATGTGAAGATGCCGGTAAGCCACGAGCCATGTGGCAAGGTATAGATGAATGGAAATGGATTAATTTAAGTTGTAAGAACAGTTAGCAAGAAGCCTGCCACGGCCATACAGTTTGTAACCAATATAAGTCTCTGTGTTTACTTGGTCGGGTCTGAGTGACTGTGGGACTGGCAGGTGAGAGAGATTTGTCCTGACTGTGGGCAAGGCAGGAAAACTCTACCTACAGGGGAGTCTTTTGCTCCACACCTTGGCATTGTTATAAATAGACCTTTGGAATAAAGTTCTGGCCCGATGGAATAGGTTCCAGGCCCTCTTGAGGCTATCCTGTATTTTCTATCTGTTTCTCCCCCGTCTAAATCCTTCTATCTAATATTTCCTGCGGCTCCTACTCAAGAGCACTCTGGGGAAATGTGGAGGTGGTGGGTAGCCCCCCCCCCACCCCCGACTGGGCCCTGCCTCTCCCCACACCTTCAGGACATGCCTGTGTCCTGCTCTCCACTGTGGGTCTACAGTATGCCAAGGGTGCTGGAGACGTCAGTAGAGAGGCCGTCCCTGCACACGGTGCAGATCGCGTTCCACTCCCTGTCAGCTGGAGGGTGTACAGCAGCAGACAGCAGAATGGGGCTGTCAGGTGTCAATCAGCCACTGAGCATGGCACACTCCGTCTCCCATTTCTACGTCCCTGTTTTCACGGCTGGGCTTTCTTGGGTACCCTTCTGTGCTAACACGTCCCCCAAAGTGAGCGTGCTTGTGGGCACAAATTTCAGGTCCCAAATGAACTAGCAGCTTGCATTTGCAGAACCATTTCTCTGCAAGCTTTTCCTTCAAAAGTCCAAAAACTCAAACATCCAGAATAAACTTCCAAACATAAAAATCCAAGGGAAAGGTGCATCTGTGACTGTCCCTCCAACAAGGCCAACCCCACTGCACGAGGGTTAAATGATGTTTACATTACATTATGACGATGGGTATTTACTAGACAAGTCTTACACTACACAGAAATACTCATGATTCAGCATCCACTCTTTTGGAGCACAGTGCCTCGGTGGACACAGACTGGTTAGTAATACCCAGCCGGACCACAGAGCCCCCCAGGCAAATGACACTCACGGTGACGATGAAGGTGAGCACCACAAACACGAATCGGAACCAGATCTCCAGCTGGGAAAATGCAGGGTTGTATGTCTTCCACTGAAACAGGAAACAGAGAGGTGTGTGTGTGTGTGGGGGTGGGGTAGGGATGGACAGGGACAGGTCAGGACGGGAAGGGTGTGTGTGTCTGTCTGTGTGAGCATTTGAGTGTGCAAGACACCAAAAGTCAGATTTGCACCTGAAGGGAAAACACCTGACTATCAGAAACAGTTATTCCATGGTGAGGGCACAGGGAGGTACACCCGACTATTAGGAACCATAACTGAGGAGTTAAAAAATGGTTTTTCCTTCTGTTTTCTCACAATGTTGTAAGATTTAAACACATCTTATTTCTATATTCAAGAACAGATAAAAAGCCGGTAGGTGGTGGCACATGCCTTTAATCCCAGTATTTGGGAGGCACAGCCAGATGGATCTCTGTGAGTTCAAGGCCAGCCTGGTTTAGAGTAAGTTCCAGGACAGCCAGGGCTACACAGAGAAACCCTGTCTCAAAAAACAAACAACAAAAACAAACATATAAAAAAAAAACCCTTAAATTCTAAGAACTTTTTGAAATGGCTTTAAGTGGTGAATCTGGCAGATAAATTATTCTATATTATATTATATAAAATATTATATGTTAATCACTATAAGAGCATTTGAATTTTAAATTTCCTATCAAAAGTCAGCCTTGCCAATCTTCACCAGAAAATGCCAATCTTTACATGAAAAGAAAACAGACTTGTGTAACATGTAAGTGTGAGAAGTAATTCCTAAAATACTTAAGTAAATATATAACTATGACTCTGCAATCTCAATAGTCATGTGGGCTGTGCTGCCCGCGTGGGCCCTGCTTGCTTGGGCTGTGCTGCCCGAGTGGGCCCTGGCTTCTCCAATTTCTGTGCTGTTTGCTTAAGCTATTCCTGGTTTCACAGACTTGAACAACTGTATTCCAAAATACACCATATGAGGCACTGGTGTACCCAGCCGCCTAACAAGGGAGCTACAGGAGCGTGCGGCTGGCTATGTACTCACTGTGAAGTTCATCTCCTTGATGGGCTGGTTCAGGTGTTCAAATCCCACGGTCACCGTGTACTGAGTGTAATTCAGGTAGCCGAGGTGGGCCACGATGATTTCTGCACATTTCTGAAAGAAAGGAAGTTCACGTCGCACAAGCAAGTGGAAAGGACCCTCCCACCCACGAACCTGAAGTGACTCATTTCAACAACAGATGAGCAGAACGCATCATCTCGGAACTTGCCAAAAGCTCAGAGAAAGGCACATGCCGGCCAAGGACGGTTCCTAGAAAGTAGGCACCCAGTGGGCATCTCATGACTTACAGTGATCGGAATCAATACTGCGGATGACCGAAAGACAACACAGCACCCGCATAGAAAAGCTAACCACGCAAGAACAGAAGCCTGGCTCGTCTGGAAATGCGCTACTGCACAGGGCAATGGCAAGCTTAGCTAACAGAACAGGCCTCGGAGCCTGCCAGGCCTGGGCCCACTCTGCAATGCCGTGACCATGCGCCGTCTATGAGTCATGTATTTTTCTCTCCTCGGTTTCAGCCTGTCGCTCCCTACACGGATCTCCTTCCCTCCTTTCCCTCCCCGCAACAAGAGCTGCCAGCAACGGTTAAGTGGATCGTGTGGGCAGTAGTGTGGACGCTTCACAGTCTGCTGAGTCCCGCTCTCTAGCCTTCAGGATTAGGACTTGGGGCCCCACTACACAGCAAACCCTGCCCCCGGGGTGTGGATGTGTAGCCTACAGAGGCCTGCAGGCACTCTCCATCGTAGCTCTGCTCCATCATCTGGGCAGTGGCAGTCCCCTGTGGGGAGGCAGTGTGGCCAGTGCCAGCGAACTACACTGGCCAGTTTGGTCCAGCACCCAATGTCTGAGGTCGGGGTTAGAAGCCAGGCCAGTGCTTTACGTCAGAAGCCTCAGAGAGACGAGAGAGCAAAAGACAGGAGAGGGGCTGGTGGCCACTAGCACTGTTCATTCTAAGGGACGGGAAGGAAGGCACGGAGGAGAGGGTGTGCAGAGGCTGAAGGAGAGCAGAGGCTGGACACATAGCCTGCAGCCTGCGGCATGTCCCTCCACAGGCAGCTGGGCGGCCCCTCGGAGGGGACAGGAGCCCTTTGACGTAAGCCTCTCCCAAGTCAAAGCAGGAGTCAGCTGTGGTTTCCTCCAACCCGAGTGGCTTCCCTCCTCCTCGGTGCTGGCTGCCTGCCCTCTCCACATGTGGAGCTCCCCAGCAAAGCTAAGCTCCCCCTTCTGCTGTGACTGTAGGTCACAGTTGTCGCTAAGGACTCAGAGGAACCAGGAACGGGCAGATTCAATTTCAGCAGTACACTGGTACACCTTCTGGGAGAGAGAGAGAGAGACGTTCCTTCCTTCCTTTCTTTTTCGGTTTTTTCGAGACAGGGTTTCTCTAGCCCTAGCTATCCTGGACGCACTCTGTAGACCAGGCTGGCCTTGAACTCAGAGCTCTACCTGCCTCCACCTCCTGAGTGCTGGGATTGAAGGCGTCACCACCACCTGGCTGTCAGAGACTTTTTTTTTTTTTTTTTCTGAGACAGGGTTTCTCTGTGTAGTTTTGGAGCCTGTCCTGGATCTTGCTCTGTAGACCAGGCTGGCCTCAAACTCACAGAGATCCTCCTGCTTCTGCCTCCCGAGTGCTGGGATTAAAGGTGTGCGCCACCATCCCCGGCCAGAGACACTTCTTACAAGTAAAAGAATCCTTTGCAATTTTCATATTGTGTTTTTTCTGTGTATGTACATTCTCAAAAATGCCAGAAGATGGCATCAGGTCCCTTGGAGCTTGAGTTCTAGGAGGTTGTGGGCCACCTGATGTGGCTGCCTGGAAGTGAACTTGGGTCCCTGGAAGAGCAGCAAATGACCTTCACATGAGCCAGAGGCGTTTTTATCAGGAGCTATGCTCAGGTCCTGTGTACTGTCACAGACAACACAGTAAAGACCCCAGGGTGGAGCCATACTCTGATTGTGAAGCCCCCGGCAAAAGGACCAAGGCTTCCTCACCACCACGGGGTGCTGGCATTGTTTCTTTGTTTGACATCAAATTAGCAACAAAGGCTAGGGAGGCGGCCCGGTGGAGAAAGAGCTTGCCCAGCAAGCGTGAGGACCAGGGTTCGGATCTTCGGATCTTCGCCTCCTGTAATCCCACACTCTGGAGAAGACAGGATCCCTAAAGCAAGGCTGCCTCTCCTGAGCCCTGGGCTCAGACGAGTGGACCTAACTTAATATATAAGGTGCCGAATGATGTGGAAGACACCAACACCAGTCTCTGATCTGTACATCCATGTGCGCAAACATGCACACATGCACACACATACATTTCACACATACACACAAAATAAAAAATTCCAAAAGCATAGGACGACGGCAGATATGCACGTAACATAAAAATTCCTTGTTTTCTTGAGTTGGGACAGTATCCTTGGAGTAGTGAGGAGAGTGCCTAAGGAAGAGAGGAAGATGCTCCCAAACAGTGACCAGTGTAGGCTGATGCAGGGCTCCCCGCACAGGCAGGGAGGCCCCACGGAGGTGCTCTGAAGAAGCACTCTGAAGACAGCTGTGGTGGGCACATCCTGGGAGCAGCGATGGAAGCCAGCCCCTGACGGCCCGCTCTCCTTGAAGCCAGGAACTGAAAGTCCTGTGTGCTGGGAAATGCTTCAGACGGGCCAGCCAGGGTGACCGGTCACAGTGAGCAGCGGTGTGTCCCGCTCTGGTGGCTAAGGGAGATCTCGCTCACTCACTCCTGTCTGGGGCTGGGAAGAGGCCCCCGGGACTTGTACACATGTTATTCTCATTATTCAGCAGGACTGACTCAGTACCTCCTACACACAGGATGGTAAGGACATGGGGGACCGTGATCCTGGAGACTTTCCCAGAACAGGCCAAAAGGACTTAATCCCCCACAGACAATATCATGTTCCAGAAATTGACTCGGGCTGCTTGCTTAGGCGGGAAGAAGGACCCAGGGTGAGGGGTCAGTTAGTTCCCTAGATGCCACCCTGTCTGCGATGGATATGGCTGTGGTTGCTGAGGTGAGAGGCCCCCACTGTCACAACTCGGCTGGAAAGAGCCACCCCTCCAGCACAGCTCAGCACCCTCAGGCCGGGGTTCTGAACCCTTTGAGTCAACAGAAAGGAACCACAACGAGAAGGGGACTAGCCACTGCACAGGAGTCCTTCCCTGCCCGAATTTCATCTTGCCGGGAGAAATCAGCGGTATTCTTACTGTTAGTAGCTCGGCAGGATGCGCGTGGTTAAAGCCACGCGGGCTCCCGGATAAAAGAACCCCAGCTTAGATCCTGTCCCTCCCACTTAGTATCTGTGTCAACCGGGACAATGGCTGTGACCTCTCGAAGCCTCTGTTTCTTCTTCTATAAAATAGAAGCTGATAGTAGTTGCTACCCCGTGGCCCTCCTGTGAGGATTTAATGAGTGACATGCAGAAGGCACTCAGCGTGAAACCTTGCAACCCACTCCAACATTCCTTGTCTAGTTAGGCCTCTAATCAACACCCTGCCTGTTCTGACCCTCTCGCAGTGCCCCTGCTGCCGGGGACCCGTTGAGTCCTGATGGGGCTCCTGGCTGTTGCAGGGATGGGGTCTGAGCTAGCGGCTTCTGAACAGAATACAGTATCAATGAATAAAGGTGTGAGAGTTTGTTCTTATGCTGGATCCCACAGCCGCACACTGTACCCCACAGCGGATCCTAAAAGTGTGGTCGCTGACCCCAAGAGGCCTGGGCACTCTGTCCCCCATCCACAGACGGATCAGAGCATTCAATACCCAATATAAACCACCAAAGCCACCATGACCAAGACTGACCCTGAACAGTGGCAGAGGTTCACCTGCGACCTGACCCTCCACACTGCCTACCAACAGCAATCATTACGTGTCACATGGTTCAGGGTTTGTCGCAGACAAACGCACGTGTGTATGATTCCACGAAATTAAATGCTCCTGCACAGGAAATGAAGCAGTCATCAGGGTGAAGAGAGGGAGGGAGGGAGCACAGACTGGCGCTGATGGGTGAGGGTGGCCTGTGTCAACTACACCTCAGACAGGGGATTCATATTTAGGAAACATAAAGGGCCACAAAAACTAAACACCACATCGCAAATCATCCAATCAATAAATGAACTAAAGAACTGAACACAGCTCTCAAAGGATGAAACATAAATGATCAATGCTTCAAATGACCAACATCCTTACTCATCAGGGAAATGCAAATTACCAGTGCTCTGAGAGCCCATCTTACCCCAGTTCCAACAAATGCTGGTGAGGAGTGTGAGGAGAGAAGGAGGTATTCACTGCTGGTGGGGGTGTAAACCCCAGCACTCCTGACATCAGTGTGGAGGGTCTTCACAACACTGACCTAGAACTGCCAGTGACCCAGTTAAAGCACCCTGGGACATGCCAGTGGGACCCTGGCATGTCCATGTTTATTGCTACGCCACTGATAGGCGCTGGGCAATGCCACCAACCTAGATGTCCATCAACGGATGACTAGGGAAAGAAAATGCAGCACATATACAACATGGAATTTATGTAAGCAGAAGAAAAAACGGAATCATGAGGGTTGTGGGAAAATGGACGCAACTGGAAAGCAGTATGCTAAGCAAAGCAAGCCAGATTAAAAAAAGACACATGCTGCATGTTTTGTATGCAAAACCTAGACTTAAATTTATGTATGTGAGTTTACACGTGTGTGTGTGTGCATCTGTGTATGGTGTGCAGAGGTCACAAAACCAGAATGCGGGTCACGAGAGGGATGCAATCTTGGGGGAGACAGGAAAAAGAGGAGACAGGACACACTGTAAGGAAGCAGGAAGAGGGCCTAAGGGGGCAGAGAGGTAACCGGAGTAAAGGGGGCCGTGGGAAACGGAACGATGAGAACCAAGCATACGGCATGTATGCATGCAGACTGCATGAGGAAACCCATTATTTGCATGCTAGTCTAATGAATGTTTTTAAACCCGTTTTTGAAGCCTTCACCTAGCTGGGCCTGTCTGTTGGACAAGCAGGTCTGTGACAGCGTTTACGGCTGATGAGTAACTATGGAGACATCAAACACACTCACCCCCGCACACGTGAGTGTCCTGGTCCGATTGTGAACCTTGTTGTGAATGTATATCGTGGTTCCATCTTGAGCCACACCGTTGACTTTCACAGTCATGGAAAAGCTGGTTTGAATAGATGTTTCTACAAGACAAAGAAACTTAGTATCCACATTTGGTGAGACCACACCAGGCACCTCCCGGCAGCAAAGCCACCTGTTGACAGACACGTACAGATAGCCCAGGAGCATCCTAAGGCTCATTACCACCCCCTTGGTGTTTGAAAGTCTTACATCATTCAGCAAAGGAAAGCCTTTGCTACCTCCCACCGTTGCTGAAGGGCCTGTGTTATGTTAAACCCGCATTTCTGATCCATCTGTTTCATTTCACATAAGGCTACATGGCCACGAAATTACCCCTTTAATTCTCCACATGAATTCTTTAATTTACACCAAGATATAATCAGATCTCTATTTCTGATTAAAATTAATTATATTTTTATCATAAAAAAGAGAACAGGGTTGTTGGGGTAGCTCAGCAGGTAAACCCGGCCAACCACCTCAGTTCCACAGCAGGGACCCACATGGCAGGAGGAGAGAACCGACCCCTTAAAGTTGTCCTCTGACCCTCTCTCTGTCTCTCTCTCTGTCTCTCTCAATCTCTCCCCCCACTTAGGACTGGAGTTCGGATCCTAGCAGCCACAGAACAAGTGTCCCACGCGTGCCTGCAACCCTAGCTCCGTGGAGAGTGGAGACGAGGGTCACTGGGGCTTTTTGGATTCCAGTGTAGCCCAGAAAAACGTGAGCCCCAGGTTCAGGGGGAGGTCATGGGTCAAAAGAACAGGCAGAGAGGGTGATGTAAGAAGACACAGGATGCCCTCTTTTGGCTTCTGCACCAACACACAGGTATGCACCCCACCCCCCACAAGCAAGTATTTAAACAAACAAACAAAAACTCACATAAAGGTGGCTTCACTGAACAATTCCAATCCCACCTCAAAAACAATAATTAATGTTTCTGTGTGCATCCTTCTTCTAGACCATCTTCTAAACACACAAGTTCTGATGTAAAACTTAACTTTGCCTTTTCTCACTTCTTTTACTATAGTCAAGGGATTGTCTTCAAATTCTTTCCCGGAGTGCCTCAGCTGATCAGAGACCAGCCTCACTTCGCATTACGACGACGAAGTAACGCTTGTGTCATGGAAGATGCGGAGGCTGGTCTTTGAAAACAATGGTGCCCCAGGGCTGGGCTTCTCAGCAACTCCCCTCCCCCGAGCCCCAAATGCTGACTGGCACAGCTGTGCACTACAAGATGTTCAGTGGCAGCCCTGGCCTCTCCCATGTCAAATTGTCCCCACTCATTACGAAGTATCCCTGGGGACCAAAAGCATGCCTCAGGGTATCAGGCCATAATTCTCTCTCAACTCTGCACTGAGCTCAGCTGTCCTCATCCCGCAGAGATGCATCCCGACTCCCACTGGGACACGGCCGAGACCTTCCAATCTTTCCTCATGGAAGTCATGGGCATCTGTCTACACATATCAGCCACCATGCGCCCAAATACTATAAAGTCTTTCCCCCCTCTTCAGAATGAGTTTATTTTAGACACAATGAGCCACCCCCAATATCGGGCTGCAAACCTTCTGAGGGCTCCAGCTCGACAACACACGTCAGCCATAGTTGTTGGTTATATGTAGACAGTGGGTTTGAACGTATTTGAATTGGCTTTAGCTGAAGCAAAAGAAAAAAACAAAAGTCATCATGTGCCCTGTTCACAGACTCCCTGAACACCTCATCTTAATGTTTAAAACACGTTTTGCACACAGCTTGGAACATGAGCCCTGACAGAGCTGGGTGGCTTTCCTTTGCAGAGCACAAGGAATCAGCCTCCTAAAGAAAGGCCCAGCTGCACCGCCTTCCCGCCTCTCCAAGACTCTAGGCAGCAATTCCCACCATCAGAACCTGCTAAATGCCAGAGGAAGTCACTGGGGGAAAATGGAAATGGCAGACTGATGAGACAGAGCTAGTAAAGGACACCAGGGAACAGTGTTCATGTCCCCGGCACCATGCGTCTCCATAACCATCTCTAACATCGGTAGACTGGGTATGTTGCTGGCTGGCGTTCGTCACTTCCAGCATTAGAGCAGTCTTACCCCTCCTGCAGAGGAAAAGGAGAGGACTGTGTGGTCGCTCTGCAGTGTCCCATGGCAGAGGCTGTGGAGGGAGCTGGTGAAGGTGCCTACCTACACTTCCCAAACCAGCATGATTTGAAGGCCTCAGCTGTGGAGGTGAATGTCTTGTCTCGTTTTCAGGCTGTCAGGGTCTCCACCAAACTTTCTGAGACCACAGTTGTCTGAAAGTATTGGGGGAAGTAGAAGCTATCAGAGGGGAATGTGTCACCTTTCAGAAACAAGATGTTCGCATAGAAGCCCTCAGTTCTATAGGATGACTGTTACTGTCAGAGAGAGACCCTGAGGGGCAGACTATGAGACTCATGATTGTCAAGAAAACTCATGGTGGGCTCTCCAAACCAGACCCTCTGCCCCAGAGCTCAAGACAACAAGGAACGCAAAGAACTCTTGAAGGCTGCCCACCCAGAACTCATTTCAAGGCGGCAGCAGCAGCAGCAGCTAAAGGAATTCAGCTTTTCTCTTTGCCCTTTTAGAAATCATTAGGAGAGCCAGGCATGGTGACATGCTACTTTAATCCTAGCACTCGGGAGGCAGAGGCAAGTGGATTTCTGTGAGTTTAAGGCTAGCCTGGTCTACACATCAAGGTCCAGGCTAACCAGGGCTACAAAGTGGGACCTTGCCTGAACAAACAAAAAGTTGTAAGAGGAGACCCTGGAAAGGAGGCAGAGGAGCAGAAGGGAGGTCAAACAAGGACACTGGAAGTCTAGGTGATGTGAAAACAGAGCACAGTCAGTTTACAGAGACCGGGTATGGCTGACACAGAGAGACCCTACTGTTTACTTCTCTAATCGAAAGGACTTGTTTTCCATAAAGGTGAGAAATCACGGTACATTTAGAGAGCGGGGAGCAGACTTTCATTTGCAATGGGCTCATGCAGGGAATCCCAACCAAAGAGAGCGGCGACTACTGGAACCGACCCGGAACAAGTCCTGACTTGGACAAACAGCACAAAGGTCAGTCCATAAAGTGCTTCCCATGCGAGCATGAGAACCTGAGCCCTGCCCTGGCATCCACCAGCGGCTGGGTGCCACACAGTTGCAATCTCTGTGCTGGGGAGGCAGAGACAGGAGGATTCCTGGGCTCACTGGCCAGCCAGCCTAGCTGGTAAGCCCAAGTCCCAGTGAGGGACTCTTATCGCAAACAAACAAACAAACAAACAAACAGGCTGCCAGCTCCTGAGGACCAAACCCTGTGGCTAACCTCTGGCCTCCACACACATGCACACACATGTATATATACACAAATTAAGCTTTTTAAAGGAAGGGTCAGATGCCTAAGTAATCATTGTTAAAATGTTGAGTGCAACAGGATTTTCCGGCACGAGCAATCAGAACAGGTTACACCATTTGGAAGTGAGCTGTGGTTCCGTCAGAGGGAACACCAACGTCCTTCCACAACCATTGTCTGAGGACACCGAGGACCCCGGAAAAGGGAATTTCAGCTGACAAGAACCTGACCGTGAAGAAGAACTGGGTGTTGCTTGAGAATCCAGAGCAGGGCAAGGGCGGACTGCCTCAAGCCTCCCCAGCAGGGCCACCTCCCAGTGACTCCCCAGTTTATAACGAACCACCCGATGCTCACAGCACCTCTTACCTTTCTGCTACTATTCAGTGAGAAGTTTGCCGCAGAGGTCTGGATCACTTTGGGTCCTAAGAGTGGCAAAGGAGAGGAGAAAGGCATTAGAGCGGTTAACTCACTGGTTTGTTTTAAATGTGAGAGACACTGGCACATCAGATACAAATCATCTCTTGTACGGGTCGCCTTACTTTTTAAGTAGGTAAAATGTCCAGACACAGACTGGACGCCCGCTCTGTGTGACACAGCTTCCATGCCCATTAAGGCTCAACGAGCAACAGGCCATGGATGTCTTTCCACAGGCTCCCTCCCCAGTGCTCACCACAGGGCTTTCTGTCGTACATGGCCCCAATGAAACATTACTAAGAAGTCTAGTTAATGCATTCATCCAACTAACCCAGTCTTCTAGAAATAGTAAACAGAGGCGACAAAGTGGCAGATATCCCAGCACAACACAGGGCTTTCTTGAAATAGATATTTCTTTTTATAAAAGACTTTAAAAAAAAAAAGATTTATTAATGTATATGGTGTTATGCCTGCACATATCCCTGCAGGCCAGAAGAAGGCACCATATCTTGCCAGAAGAATTCACCAGATCTCATAATAGATGGTTGTGAGCCACCATGTGGTTGCTGGGAATTGAACTCAGGACTTCTGGAAGAGCAGCCAGTGTAAGCCATCTATCCAGCCTGAAATAGATATGAATTATTGAGTTCTTTCTTCCTCGATTTTACTGTGATTAAAATACACAAAGGACTTAACATTTTGAACACATTTAAGAGTACAATTCAGCAGGATTAAGTACATCTGTACTGTGCAGACAGGGCCGTCCATCTTTGTAGCTCTTCTTGTAAAACCCAGTCTGCCCTGTTCACCGACTCTGCACTCCAGTCCCTCTGTCCTGGTAACCCTCTCCGTGTACCTCGGTGAGTGGAATCGCACAGGGTTTATCTGTTTGTGATTGGTTTATTTCATTTGGTATAATGTCCTCATGACTCATGCTGTAATGTGTCTAAATTGTTTAATTTTTTTCCTTTTTACAATTTGTGTGCATGTGTGCATGTGGACATCAGATGACAGCTCGAGGTAGCTGGTGTCCTCCTTCAGAGTTGTGAGGCCAGGCAGCAAGCGGCCACTGGTTTTATTCACTAGGCCATTGTTGACAGTTTACTGCAGGGAATCTCTTGAAATAGACAGGTGAACAACTCAAAATAGCTTTAGGAAGTCCCTGAAACTGACCAGATTCACTAGGCCCCTCCCCACCAGAGTCAGCAATAAAAGCTCAGAGTCCTCCTCAAAGGAAGAGAAGCTGAGCTGTAAAAAGAGACCAGAGGGGAGAAAAGCTACAGAGTCTGAGACCAGACCAGCTGCCCGGAAGAAGCAGAAACCAGCTGAACAGCCCGGAAGAGGTTTAGACCAACTGAGGCACCCGGAAAGGGCACCCTCCAACCTGTTGAGCTGCCTGCAGGCTGTGCAGTGTGCTCCAGGTTCTCAGCTTTTGTGAGCTGTCGCTCCTTCTGGGATGGGCCTTGGTGATGTGGCTGTCTGTGAGTCGTTTCTGCTCCTGTAAGTGACCCCTGGTTGGACTTTGGTAGAATCCATGCTTTGGTCTGTTGTGGGATCCCTCTCTAGGGTGAGTAAATGTGCGTTGTGTCTCCCCAGGAAAAGTTTTGTCAAACAATCACCATCTTGATGCCTCATCTTAAAGGCGGAATAATGTTCAATTGTCCACATGTCCCATTTTCCTTATCCATTCATCTGTCAATGGATATCATCTTAACTGTCTTAGATAGTGCGCCTAGGAACACAAGCATATAAACACTTTTTCACGACCTTGCCTTTGGTTATTTAGAAATCACAAGGAGAATGTGAGTGTTAGTCACTGGATACTATCTGTTGGAACATTTGCAACCAGTCTGCTGTCTTTGGTTAGAAAAGAAGGCTTCTATAGACAAAGTACAGTCTGTGCCATATCTGTGTATGTGTGCATGTGCACACATGTGTTGTGGAGCATATGTTGTGTGTGTACACATAGAGGGGAGGTGTATATATCTATGAACATTTGTGTTGTGGAGTATTAAAGTGTGTTGTATTTTTTCCTACTTCTTTTGTTAACAATTCAAAGATGTGTTTGATTAAATAAAATTAACCTGTGAGCAGGAGGCTGAGTCAGCAAGTACCTGACAGGAAGTGGTGGGAAGAAAGCACGTGGCAAGGGTTTTTCAAGTGGAGGCTGAGAGAAGGTCGCTGGATTTTTTGGAAGATGCCAGTAAAGGGAGAAGGTTAGCTACTTGCTATCCAGCCTTTCTGACCTAAACCATTAAATCCTGAGTTCTTTGGATTTAGATAAAGTTTCCCTTAGTAGCTTTGAAAGAGTTAGTGCCTGAGGGAACAGAATCCCCACAGGCTGCAGCCCTTTCCGAGAACCTGCTGCTGGTAGCAGCAGAGCTGAAATCTCTGATTCGGACAGAGTCAATTAAGGGACTGCCACTGTAGATAATATAAAGCAGTTAACAACTGTGTGCATAGAGGCCAGGGAAGAGCATCAAGTGTCCTCTGAGCCAGCAAGCCCCCAGTGGTCCTCCGTCTCCATCTCTCCCCACCAACAGCACTGGGGTTGCAGGTACATGCTGGGATCAGGTCCTCATGGCTTTGCAGCAAGCACTCTTAACCTCTGAGCCATCTCTCCAGCCCCTCATGCTATGTTTTAATCTATTCTACTTACTTCTGCCTTTTAATCGGAGAACTTTATCAACTTACACTTAGTGGCTGATTAGGACGGCTCAATCTGTTCGTTCGCTCTACACCTCTGTTTACTGTGCATTTGTTTCTATCAGCCTCCCAGCTTTTCTGTTCTTCATCTAACACCCAAGATCCACATTCTGGCTGGAGCTTATAACAGCTTAATATGGACAATACATAAAAACTCTTCCTCATCTTTTTTTAAAAATATATTTTATTTTATTTTTATGTGCATTTGTGTTTTTGCCATGGGTGTCGGGGTCCCCTGAAACTGGAGTTACAGACAAGTGTGAGCTGCCATGTGGGTGCTGGGAATTGAACTTGAGTCCTCTAGAAGAAGAGTCAGTGCTCTTATCCCCTGAGCCATCTCTCCAGCCCTCTTTCTCATCTTTTGACTACTGTGACAATGGTGACAACATGATCTTTATGAATACACACACACACACACACACATACACGCACACACACATATTGCACATCATGGGGGGGGGGTGGCATGCTGAGGATCAAACCACAAACCTACGACCTTGAACATGCTAGGTAGTCAAGGAGTCCCCTAAGCTGCAGCCACAGTCTTTGTTATTTTGTATCCAAAACTACACAATAATGTTAATGATTTAGTCTCTAATATGCGAAACAAAGCGTGGGCTTGCAAGTGTACAATAATAGCATTATGCACTTTTAAACACGCTGGCCTCTAAGTAACAAGAAACAGAAAGTGGCTTTCACGCTGATGTGAGAAGAACAGAAGACCGTGAGCTTTTGTGATGACACAGTCACCTTTGCTGGACTAGATGCGTTTCAGCCTGCAGGCTCCCTTCCCGCAACCTGCAGCACAGGGCTGGCGGCGGCAGCTACCCTCGGCTTTAGTTTGCCTGGGAATGTCTTACTCTCACCCCCACGTTTCCATCTATGGGTCTCACTACGTAGCCTTGACTGACCTCAAACACACGATCAGCCCTGTCTCAGACACCCAAGCTCTGGAAACACAGGCATGTGCCGCCACACTCAGCCTCTCCCCCTCACTTTGGAAGAACAACGTTGCCAGGCAGGATTCTGGGTTGAGAACTCTTCCAGCATTTTGAATACATCAGTTTGTCTTCTGCCCTGGACAATCAGACGGGATAAGAACAACCTCGCCGGGCTCTCCTGTCTGTAACGAGTCCCTCTTTCTTGTCATGGTCAGGACTCCAGCTGGTTTAGGCTTCCTACAGTGCAGCTGCAGAGTCTTGGTGTGACTGAATTTAGCCCACTCGAGCTCATTAGGCTTCCTGGGTACATGTGTTCACCTTTCATCAGATTTGGGAGCTGTTTACCCTGCCTCTTCTCTCTTCTCCTGAGACTCTCATAATGTGTGTACCATCTACTTGATGGCGCCCAAAGCCTCCGTGGGCTCTGTTTATTATCTCCGATCATCCTCACCAGGCCACCATCGTACCTTCAGGTCCCTTTGCCTGTCCCGTTAACTGTTCAATTCAACCTCGGTCCTTTTCAGCTCCAGAACTACCGTTCGGTTTCTCTTCCTTTCCCAGCATTCCCATCATGGCCACACTTTGCTCTCTGGCTCTTCCCACATCTTCCTCTTACTCTTGAAGCTGTCGCAGCCTTTGTCAAGCAGATCTGTCACATGGTTTCCGGGACACAGTCTTGACATAGTTATTTTTTTCTCTTTTGATGGGCCATACTTTAGTATTTCTTAGCCAGCTTTGTCTTTAACTATGATACTGTGGTGCCCTGGAGCTCAGAACCTCCCTCTGAGGAGTGGGGAGGTCCTGAGCTCCATTTTTTCTGCCTGGTTGGTTGTTGCTACCTTGACTTCTATGCTGAAGGACAGCCGGCAGTGTTAGCTCAAGGTCTTGGGTCTTGTTCTCTGGTCTGTGGTTTCTCCGGACAGGTGTGGTGAGTGCCTAATTTCCCGATTATGCTGTTCCTTTTGAATCTCCAAATGCTCAATGTTTGGTTCCCAAGAGGAAAAGAGGAGAACATGAAGGGGATCTGAGAAGAGCTAGCTAGATGGGGTGGGATTTACAACCATGGCGGTCCCGAGTACATAGCAATGGCCACCTTGCCATGCCATGCCTCTGTGACCAGAAGCATCAATGGAGGAGAAGAGCTCAGGTTCCCAGTTAGGGACACAGAGTCCTTTGTTCACCTCAGTTCCTACAAGCTATACGCAGGCCAATTCAGAATATGAGCCAAGGATGTCTGCTTTAGAGCCAGCAGGGGTCTGAGGGGCTGCCACAGCACTAAGGGCCGTACTGGCTAAAACCAGTCACAATGTAATGTCCAGCCGCCCACTCCAGGAAGTTACAAGCCTCCAATAGACCCCAGGATCCCAAAGTAGCTCATCAGTCAGGTTCTACTGCTGTGGCTGATCTAGGTGTGGAAGCACATTCCTTCTCACACTACCACCTTCCCAGAATCCCTAGCGTCTCTGATTCTTACTGTGATCGATCCTTCAGGGCTTTGGCCTTAGGTGATTTTAAAATTAATTTATGGCTAGATTGGTTTAAAACATGTTATTCTTGCCAGGTGTGGTGGTGCACGCCCTTAATCACGGCACTTGGGAGGCAGAGGCAGGTGGAGCTCTATGAATTCCTGCCAGCCTGGTGTACATAGCGAGGTTGAGGCTAGCCTGGTCTACACAGTGAGACTCTGTTTTTTAAAACAGATTTTAAAAACTATCATTCTTAGCTTGTGCTGCCAACTCTTTGGGCTGCCTCTGTGGCTGCCCCAGCCTACTGCCAATAGTCTGCCTTCCAACTCAGACTGCTCTGGTGCAGTGTATGTAATTTGACCAGCACAACATCCTGTCTCAGAGGCACCTGAAAATGTTGCGAGGATGTCTCCCTGTAGGAAGAGGGCCACTCGGCAGCGAGGTATCTTCCAAGCAGACTCCTAAGACCAGTGGGCTCTTACTCTGGCTTCTGGGAAAGACTTAAGAACTGGCATCAGGAGCACCTGGACTCTAAGCTAACTGGCACTCTGGGCCTCAGTTTCCCCATCTGCAGGATAAGGCGGTTACACAATGGTTGTTAAACTACCCGAACTATCCAACAGTAACATTGCCACACAAAGTAACTAAGAAGAGAGACTAACAACAGCCAGGTTCGTGTGTTGATCTCAGCGGGGCACAGGGTGTTTGATTAAACACTGCTCTCACGTGTCCGTGAGGGATTTCCAGGTAAGATTCACTTTTTAGCCGGCAGACTGAATAAAGCAGACTGCCCTACTCAGGGAAAGCGGGCCTCTTCACCCTCCTGAGGCCTAGACAGACATGCTAAGGAGAATCTGGTCTCCTTGTCTCCAGCAGTAACCTGAGTCTCCAGCTATGAGACTTTGACCATTAACCTCTTGGTTCCCAGGCCCCTGGGCCCCAACTGATGCACTGACTCTCCTGGCTCCCATTTGCTGACTGCAGACCTGTGGGTTCCTTAACCTCCCGAATCGTGTGAGCCAGTTCCCTTATTTTACATAGATATAAAAATAGCATCACATATTATATAATTATATAGTATATACTATAGCTCATAATTATATTATATACTTAAATCTAATAATATTAACAATTATTTATATTATAAATCATTTATACTTTAGTGTAAATACAATTGTTTATAATTATGAATATATTATATATTATAATTGTATACAGTAATGAGATGTAATTATAATAATATAGTGGGTACACATATATGCATACACACACAGACACAAACACACACACTCATGTTTCCTATAGTTTCTGTTTTTCCAGAAGATTGACAGTGATCTGTGTGATGAAAGACAGTGATGAGAACCTGACATCATCCCTGTCTTGACCTTGGGCATCAATTTTCACCTTCCTTTCAGAGTAAAGGCTGGGAACAGTCTGGGGCAGTCCAGACAGGTGGCTTGACGAAATAAAAGCTGGCTAATATCGCATGCAATACCAATGCCTCCCCACCAATATGAGAGGACGGTTTGAAATGTAAGTGATGTAATGGGTAAACCTGCATCCTGGTTAATCTAACTTTAACCCCTTGGTGACTTAACAGGAAGGGGAAGTTGGCTATGGTTGCTATGGTCACAACCATGTTGTTTTCATTACCATAAGGCAGGAAGCATCCCAGGGGCCACCCTCTGCCCCAGCACCCCCCCAGCCACTCACCAGTCTAGACTTCAGTTGAGATTAAGAAACTAGCTTTCTGAGGCACAAATACCCCTGGGACATAACTAAGCCTCGATGGCATTCATACTCAGTGTTGAGTGCGTCTGTCACTTAGAATGGCTTCCACAGACTGCCCTTGGTGATCAAGCTCTCTTACTCAGGAAGAAAGAAGTGGAGGAGAATACTCCCTCACTAAGGCTGGCTCCTGCTGCCCATGTTGGAGAGAAGACAGAGGAGACCCCAGCCTACGAAACCTTGTGAGGACCACTCAGCTCCTGTGGCTCTGTTTCGTGACTGTTAAAAAGAAAGTTGGGGGGCTGGGGAAACGGCTCAGTGGACCAAGAACTTGAGGTACAGGCATGAGGGCTGAAGTAAACGCTGAGTGGTGCAAAGGCCTGCCTGCAATCCAGGGCTCGGACGGCAGAGACGGATCCCCAGAGCAAGCTGGCCGGCTAGACTAGCTCAACTGGGGAGTTCTGGGTTGGAGGGAGAGATCCTGCCTCAAAGTATAAGGTGGCGAGTAACAGAGGAAGACAGCTAATGTCAACATCAGGGGACACACACACACACACACACACACATACACACACAGAGACACACACAAAGACACACACACAGACATACACAAACACACACATAGACACAAACACACAGACACACACACAGACACACACACACGGGGGGAGACACACACGGAGACACACAGAGACACACACACACAGACACAAACACACACACACGGAGACACACAGAGACACACACACACACACAGACACAAACACACACACACACACACACACACACACACACACACACACACGAAAACACACACACATACACAGACACCAGCCCAATCCCCTACACCCCAAGTCACATTCACCTAGACTTTTACATGTCTCCCCTTCGTCAGTGGGTTCTGGATTCCCCCCTAGGGCACAAAAGACTCTAGAAATGTTTGGGTGGGCTGCTAAACAAGTTCAAAGCCAGCTTGGCTTATTTTTAAAAGAAGAAGAAGAAATTATGTGGCAGATAAAAGGCAGGTAGTAGAAGCTGCCTGCACTAACAGACCTAGGCTGTTCGCCGTGGCTGCTGTGAACAGCCTGCCTACATTACCCAGCTCGCCTGCTACACCTCCAGAGAAGACAGGGTTCGGGGCATGACCACCTTCTGCCCCGTGGGCTCAGAGAGAAGGCCTGGCTGGGAGGAGCTGGCTGGGAGGAGGAGGGCACAGCTGGGCTGGCAGCACCGAACCAAGGTGGCTGGAAATGGAAAAATGATTAAAAGAAAGACTCACCCTTGATCCCAACGAAGACGGTCAGTCCAAAGCAGATGAAGAAGACGACGAACACCAGGACGAAGTGGCGCTTGGACAGTGTGTAGAGCCGCATGGGCGCCAGCCTGTGGAGCAGAAGCCGGGGGTGAGGACAACCAGGTCTCACACATCAGTCCCTGCCCAGGCCAGCACCACAGGCTGCGTCGGACCTGCTCCCCCTCAGAAGCACACTGCTCCAAAACTAGCTGAGCCCCCCTTACTAAATAGTTTCCGTGACCTCGGTAACCTCTCATGAGTGGATCATCTGGATGTTCTGTGTCAGAGACCAAACTCAGCCATCGTGTTTGGAGAATGAACTCACTGTGGTTCCCATGCCAAGGAGAAATGTCACCACGCCACAGAAGTGACCTAACCTTTTACACAGCCCACTTCTAGCTGCCAGAGTAGAGCCACAGCTCAGACCAACAAGGAGCCTGACTCTACTGTACCCCCATCACTGCCATGCCCAGACCAGGAATACCAGGGACCAGAGGCACCAGGCATTTCCATCTAGTCTATCTCACGCTCAGAGCCCTCAGAGTTTAAGATTCTTCCAGCAGAAGTGCCCCACTCTGGTGAAGAGCAGCCTACCCTTCCCAGGAGAGCTTCTGACTCCTCCTACAAGGGGGCCTACAAGCTTCTGTGATCCACAGGAACACAGAGGCTGTTCAGAGGACTGATCCCAGCATGCACCTGCACGTTCCCTCAGAACAACACATGGGGGGTGGGGACACTGGAGAGACAGATCCGCGGTTACAATCATATACTGCTCTAGCAAAATTCCCAGAACCCACATCAGGTGGCTCACAACTGCCTGTAACTCCAGCTCCAGGAGATCTGATGCCCTCTTGGCCTCAGTGGGCAAAATTACACATACCTCCACAACCCGACCCCCACCACAGATACATATGCACACACATAATTTAAAAATGAAAATAAGTCTTTAAAACAAAAAACACAGGAAAATGTTTCCTGTTCAGCACTCCATGTAGCATACCTCAGCTTTGCAAAACACTGTGGGACTCTGTAGGCATGAAACTGTGCCCTCCAGAGGGGCCACAGCATCACAAGCACATGAGCAATGCTGGGACTCCAGTTAGCTCCACTAATAAAAAAGCAGTGTTGATAGAAGCAATCAACCCCACTAAAGAGTCCTAAAGAGGTGGCTGACCCCCCAAGGGAGGAGCTGGGGTTTGCTTGCTGGCCGCACCTGTGTTCCTACTGCTTGATTTGGAAGCTGAAAAGCCACAGGAAGGCTGAGTCAACCTGGACAGAGGCGTGGCCTGGAGACCCAGGGTAAGGTTACCGACCTGTGCTCACAGTCCACACCCACCCCTTCCTTCCATCTGTGCCTGAGACTCCAGAAGTCAGGCAGGAAGTCAACCATGGGGCCGGGCACAGACCTGTGCTCACAGTCCACACCCCTTCCTTCCATCTGTGCCTGAGACTCCAGATGGCAGGCAGGAAGTCAGCCATGGGGCCGGGCACCGACCTGTGCTCACAGTCCACACACACCCCTTCCTTCCATCTGTGCCTGAGACTCCAGATAGCAAGCAGGAAGTCAACCATGGGGCCGGGCAGTCTCAGCACAAAGGTGAGGCCTGGGAGCCACGGTACTCTGACGTGGCACTCTGACGTGGCACCGCTGACCGAGCAGGGCCCCTGCAGCCACCTGGCCAGGACTCAGATGGCCTGGCTGGCTTTCAGACCACTATCCATGCGTTTGGTGAAAGATGGAGTGAAGCCTGGAGGCTTCCTTGGGACTCTGGCCCTAACACGGACCCGTAAGTCATCCTGTTGGCAAGACAGGAGGAGAAGCTGGTGAGGTAAGAGTGTGCTGCCAGCTCAGATCAGGGCCCTGAGAGAGAACCGGCCTCCGGGAAGGAGCCAGCTTTCTTTGTAAAACACAGTTCCCACTCCAAAGGGTGTAAGGGAGAGTTTATTCTGAGTTAAACACGAGTGACCATGGCCCAGGTACATGGATTCATACTGCTTTGATGATATCTTCCACCATGGAAGTGGTTACATCAACTTTTATCAATCAATAACATTTACCACATACATTAGTGGAGACACTAGGCAGGCAGGTTATAGCAAAACAGGAAGTCTCTGCTGTGGGCTTCGGGTGCTGATGGTATCCTTAGCTTTGGGATTGGTGGGACCTAACGGGCTGTGTCTTAGTCAGGGTTACTACTGCGGTGGTGAAACACCATGACCAAAGCAAGTCGGGGAGGAAAGGGTTTATTTGGCTTATGCTTCCACAGCACGGTTTGTGATCAAAGGAAGCCAGGACAGAGACCCAAGCAGGGCAGGAACCTGGAGGCAGGAGCTCATGCAGAGGCCATGGAGGGGGCTGTTTACAGGCTTGCTCCTCATGGCTTGCTCAGCCTGCTTTCTTTTAGAACCCAGGACCACTTGCTCAGAGGTGGCCCCACCCACCGTGGGCTGGGCTCTCCCCCATCAATCACTAATTAAGAAAATGTCCTACAACCCAACCCTATGGAGGCATTTTCTCAGGTGAGGCTCCCTCCTCTCAGATGACTCTAAGCTGTGTCAAGTTGACATAAAAGCAGCCATTACTACATGGCAAAGGTTTCACTTGATAGTAAAAGGACGTTAGAATGGACACACGGGTAGGCGGTCAGTGGCGAATGGGAGAGTCCGCAGCACTCCAGCCCCCACAGTTGTTCTACAGACTCAACACAGGAGGGCCTGTCCAGGGGCTTTCGGTTCACACCTTGGGTTTACAGACGGGAAGCTGAGAGCTGGAGGTGACAGCCCTGCCCGGGTTGTCTCAGACATGCTCTCTGGGAGCACCTGTGGCTTCCCTGCAGGGGGGAGGCTCTGGGAAACAGGACTCAGTAATGCCAGTCTGGAAATGTGGAACTCCTGTGTGGAATGTGAGTCCTGGCAGAAGAGCAAGTGTCCCTCCTGTCACCTCTCTGTGACCCAGGTGTCTCTTTATACAGTGTGTGTGGATATGTTTTTGTTTTCATATTGAAAGGAAGGGATGGTTTCTAGGCAACTGCATAGGACATTTCCATGTAGAAATCAAAATTTGCACAAAGCTAAATGGGCTGGGTGGTGGAAAGAGTGCAAACGGAGTTAACAGGATCTCACCCGTGCTAATGATGCCAACTGAGACAAACGTGCCAGGTCACATGAGACGCTGGGACCAGGGGAGGCTGTTATCTCTGCCACTCTCCTATGAACTGAAAATAGTTTTTAGAAATCTCAGAGCCATTTGTGGACTATGATGGCACTATGTTCAGAGTGACCTGATCCTGCTAGTAGATCGGAGACCAAGCAACATGGAGGACTCCTCAGGCAGAGGCTGGCAGGTACAGAAATCAAAGGAAGATTAGAATTTAAACCTGGAGTTAAAAATGCCTCATTGGCCAGGCATCATGACACATCCCTTTAATCCCAGCACTCTGGAGGCAGAATCAGGTGGATTTCTGTAGGTTTGAGGCCAGCCTGGGCTACAGAGCAAGTATGAGGACAGCCAGGCAATGCAGAGAGATCCCATCTCAACAAACAAACAAGCAAACAAACGCACCACTGACATCCTGAACGCATGGTTACTTAGCAGATGAGAAAGAAGCCGAACAAGGAGACATTAAGAAAGCGCCTGATGACGCGGTCAAATGGAACTATCCCGTGACCCACCTAGAATACGTGCCATTTGGCTCCTCAAAAGGCTAACCACAATGTGTCATTGGGGGCGGGGGAGATGGCTCAGTTGGCAGAATGCATGGGGTCCTGAGTTCCGATCCCCAGTACTCATGTAAAAAAGCTAGGCATGGTACCAACAGCATAACCCTAGTTCTGGAGGGCACAGACAGACAGACCGACCCCTGGCAATCAGCAAGTGGAGAGTGACAGAGGACACCCACTGTTAACCCTGGGCCTCCACATCTGTGTGTATGTATGCACACACAATTTTTTAACTTAAAAAAAAAAAAAAAAAGCCTCCCAAGTAGAAAATCCCCTAGGTTAGCAATCAAGTCACCCAAATCAGTGGAAGAAGACACAGAATAGCAAATTAACCCTAAGCTTGAGAGAGAGAGCCTCACACAGCCACCCCCGATACGCTTAGCTGGGCGCTGGGATGGAGCCCTACACCACTGGTTCTCAGGCCTCCCCAGGATGGGAATGATCCCCAGACAAGATGGTCACACACACCAGATGTCCCCTGCCCCTCTCCGACATGGTTCTCCCAGCTCCCAATCTGAAGGGTTTGAACTTCAAACTAGAGACTTTGAAAGCTGAGAATCTTCGTCCTCTCCTTGATAAATAAGTCTAAAACTTAACTTATGGCCAAACAAGAGACTCTGAGATGCCAGTGCCAGGAGAAGTGAGCTGTTCTTTCCAGAACAGCCGTTCCGGGTACCAGAGACCAGCCTGGAGGCTGCATCTGGGGTGCCCATTTGATTTCACCTCCCTGCTGAAATGTCGAGCTGGTCTAGGCAAACCTTGGGCCTGTTGCCTTCTAGGATCAGAACAACAGAGACCACTCTGCATCATCTATAGACAGGGCTGTGACTTGAAAACACTGAGGCCTGTGCTCTACAGCCCCGGCCACACTCACTCCCAACTCTGGCTGCCATGACCTTGAAATTCTGGATTCTGGATGCCACACACCATGATTCCTCCTCATGCTAGCTGGCTGCCTCTTTTCTCCTCATCCTTCCCACCTTCAGGAACTGCCCAAGGTTCCCTGCTCACACCTGCCCAACTCGGAAATAGTGTTTCCCAAGGCATCTCTCTACTCAGGAGTCCTATATTACCTCACAGTCAAGAGGCTTAAAGCCGAACTCACTGGAAGACAAAATAAATAAGAAAACCCCTCCATTCATTTGCTACTTCCTGCCTCTATCATTTCTTTTACATTTTTATTTTTCATTATGTTTATTAATTTACCGGGGGCAGGGTGTTGTAGCTGGAGAGTTTCTTCCTGGGTCCCACTAAGCCCCCCGCTGTCCTGCAGCCCACTTATAAAACAAACACACAGACCCTTATTTATTCAAACTGTTTGGCCTAATGGCTCAGGCTTCTAGCTAGCTGTTCTTATATCTTAAATCAA